GTTTTTGAATAAATAAATATATGATATAATAATAATAATAAATGAATATGTGCATGATATTTGGCATAAATGCATATTTCCGGTTCTGCACTACCGTGAGCAAATGCGAGAAAATTGACTCATGCGTACGACTTCTTCATAAACTCAACTACAGAAATCTCCTCACGATCTGTTACGACTCTCGCCTGCCGGCAGGGTCAACCGTCACTTCTTCTTCTTCTTCTTCTTATTCTTCAGCGTTTGTCCCGCTTGTTGGCGGGGTCCGCTTTTCTGATGTGCTGACGCCACTTTTCCCGATTAAATGCTTGGTCGGGGTGGATGTTAACCAACTTCAAGTCTGCGTGCAACGTATCGAGCCAGCGCTGTTTCGGGCGCCCCTTGGGCCGCTTTCCGTGCACGTCTATGTTGAGGCCGATCTTGCGAACACTGTCATCATTTCCGCGAAGAACGTGGCCAAACCAACGAAGCCGAGCTTCGCGCATTTTATCAGCAATGGGAGCTACACCAAAGCGTTCTCGTATGACATCGTTCCGAACGCGATCTAATCGCGTGACACCAGCCGTCCAGCGCAGCATCTTCGTCTCCATTACACCAAGGCGAGTTTCAGTGTCCCTGGTCGCTGGCCAGCACTCAGCGCCGTACAATGCCACTGGTCTTATGACTGTCCTATAGATCTTCGATTTTAGGCGTTCTGGGATTTTCTTGTCACAGAGAACTCCCGTCATAGAACGCCACTTGGACCAAGCCGCACTCACACGCGAGTTCACCTCAGTACTCATACTGCCATCAGACGCAATTGCTGATCCAAGGTACTTGAATGTCGTTGCACGTGTCAGCTCTATTCCATTTATTTGATAGAACCGCACTCGGCCTCAAAAACAAGGAAAACCAACCACAACTCTGCCCCAATTTCACATTCAAAAACTGGTGTTTGAAGGCATAGTGCAATAGTTATTCCTCCTACCGTCCTTCCTACCTAACTTGATGAAAACTACGACATCTGAACCATCAGAGTTTCATTATGGAGCGCATCGGTTATCTTAGGCTTAACTCCAGTATTTATGTGTTTGTAAGGTTTTTAGACGGTCTGTGAAAATCTGAGGCAATTTCTATTCTGTCAATCGAATCACTGTAAATGAATGGCAAGTTGCCTTCGTGAAACGAAAGGATTTTTTCTTAGAATATTTCAGCCGTGATAAAGCGACGATTTCCAACCGTTTCTCACCTAGTGGAGGCTGGAATTCTAACAGAAGAAGAGAAAGATATGCTGGACAACACGCAAACTACCCATGGGATATGGTGGGTAATTGCGCATAAAAGTTTGGAAAAAAATCGATTAAAAGTTGATCTTAGAGTTCTCTAACGCTGGCTTGCTATTAGGTCGCAGCAGAAGCAATTGCGGATTCGAAGCTTTATTCCGAATAATAATTCTCCACAAATACCTACAACAGTCCGCCATCGGTCGACAAGGAAACAAATGCCTCTCCTTCAAAATTCGGCAGGCTTCGAGTCGAAGAAGTGCCCATGTCCGCTTTCAACTATTGAAAGTTGTCGTACTTTTTATCCTTTGAGAAGTGAGCCAGGGAAAGGAGTGGGTGGTAATCCGTAGGTGCAAGACCTGGCGAATATGGAGGATGGGGTAAAACCGCAGATCCAAGTTCCGCCAATGTGTCCTGGGTTACCCTTGCAACATGCGGTCGCGCGTTGTCATGAAGAAGAAGGACTTCGTCCAGCTTCGGGCGAAGTTTCGCGACTTCAGCTGCGAGCCTTCGTGGTTGTGAGCAGTACACCTCAGCGTCGACGGTGGTATTGTCTGGCATCTCGTAATGACGTGTTCCCCGAACACTCCACCAAACTGACAGAGGAACTTTCTTGGGATGAACCTCCTGCTTTGGAACAGGCTCTGGCTTCTGGTTCGCACCCATTCACTGTCTTTCTTCTGGTATGACGGACGTAGAGCCCCCACCTTTCATCTCCAGTAATGACATATCAGCCAATGAAACAGCGATTTCCTTTACAAGAAAACCTCTGCACACCGCGATGCCTCTTTTCTTGGAGTTCTCTGTCAGCTCATGCGGGACCAATCGACCAAGTTTCTTGACTTTTCAAGCTTGTGTCGAACGCGACCTATGGCTATGTCGAGGCACTACATCTCCTTTGCGCAGTTTCCTTGCGGCTTGCATGCGAATTCTTGACGCCTTCCAAGCCCAGGGTCAACCCTACGTTGTTACGAGTAACAACGGGGGGGGGTCGTACCTTGGTTGAGTTTGTAGGAGGGGGGGGGTCGTACCCACTTTAGTTGCTCGAAATCACGTGTGGGGTTGAGGAGAAATTAAGGTAGTAGGCTGTGCGAGGCTGTCCCCCTAGAAAAGGAAGCAGTGAGATTATAGGTATAATTAGGGTAAATAGGGTTGACCCTGGTAGCAGCTCCAAACGTTCATAAGTGATTTCCGTTAAACGTTCTTTTTCGAGGTTGTAGTTTCCTTCGCGGAACCTTTTGAACCAAAGTTGGCAGGTTTTCTCACTACTCCTCAGAGCATATATTGCGGCAGGCTTCGCTCGCTATGGGTCTCAGACAAAATTCGCAAAGAAGGCAGTGGCGTACATTGGTCGAAACGTGTGGCATTTTCCAGGCTTCAAAAGGCATGCAGGAGGATGACTCGAGAGTGTGAAGGGAATATTACCATTCTCTACATATTTCGAAAATTCCCTTGCAGGTTGATGGGCAACCGTTTGTCTGGTTGTTTGGAAGAAATGCGCGCCAGCTTTCGTTGTGACCTAATATTTAGTGATGATGAGTAGAATATTGAGGTCCAAAAAGAACGTCTGGTTTTACAAACTGAATGACATAATTATACTTCAATCAGAATCAATAATTTTTTTGCATTTCTTTCCTTCAGCAAAGGTACAATTCACCTCTCTTTCCAGGTTTCAGATTGTTATCGGCTGCAATTTCATTACTTCCATTTCTTTCTGAGGAATTTTTCCATGGTCATGGTACGGCAAAGTATTGATCGCTTGACAAAGAACTTGCCATACCTAGAGAAAAACTATCAAAGTACACTGCAGTATCGCCCTAACGATCGATACGATCGCCTCTAGTCCGAACTGATGACGGCGAGCGAGGATCCGTGGCGTCCGCTGATCGCCGTTATCGTCCCATGCTTTCTTCATAGCGGCCTTCAAAAAACTTTTATATTTTTAGAGATTGCCTTAGCTTTATTTCCAAGAGATAAACGGAAGTTGAGCTATGAGAAAATTTCGTAGAGGCCTTTACGTGGACGGCATCGGAATAATTCTGCTTTAGACATGGTGCACTGGTCGAGCTCAATGGGGTCTTCGAAGGATCGTGTACCATAACGACCCTTACTGGAAAGCTAGTTCCGAGGGGATTTGCACAGTGGTAGCTAATGCCTCTAGAAAACTATCCAACATTGAATCGATTCACGAAATTATGTAAGAGCTTCAGGCTGAAGCGTTACGGTAGTCCTTCTTGAGGTCGACGGCGATAGTAGATGACGTCATATTCTGGATTCGTCATATTCTAGAAGAACATCCAGGGAATATTTTGTCGAGGAACTTTCGTCAGAAAAAAGGGCCGAAGTCCAAGATGGGCAAAATGAATTTCTCTTCTCCCCACAAATTGGAGAAAATTGGACATGAAGTTTCAAGGTATAGATTGCATTTTTGCTCAAAGTTTTGAACCCATACTTTAGGGTGGGTGCCGTCTCAATGGTTCTGTCAGTTGGCTGCCACTGCAAGAAAAGAAGGCCGGATTCACGATGATCTTCATCTGAAGTCATTAATAGATGTAAGCGGTTTCTTCTGTCTTATAAGTAATTTCAAAACGTTTTCTAGTTTAGGACTGCCTTGAGTATCGTGGTCAGTGTGGAATGATTTGGTCATATGACTGGATATCGGTCCCACTAGTATATACTCAGGTACCTATTCTTAACCGTTTGTAGACTAAGTGGATGTTATATCTACGATTTCGATAAACTCTTTTTTTTAGTTTCTAGGTTGTAACGATAGCGGTGTACAGTTTCTTCGTTTCGTGCTTGTTTGGAAGGCAGTTTTTGCTCTCAGAGGTAACCACGATTTCAAAGCCCAAAAGTTGAAAAAAGTTGAAAATTTAGGTTGTAGCCCCAAGTGAAATTTTAGAACACATAATAAAATGGAATGCACCATTCCGCGTCTCTGCCTACACCTAAAACTGTAGCCGCCTGTCGCATTTCTCTTCTCGAAGGGATAGAATCTGGGGCTTAGTCAGTCATACAGTGCGTACCAAAAGTATGTGGACACCCTGGAATCGATTCTCAGGGGTCAGCTAAAGGCTTTTATGTCATGAAACCTCCACCATTCAACTCCTAGTGGTCGATAACCTACAATGATATTTTCGGCAAAAGATTTCGTTCTAACTTAGCGAACTATTTTTCATGGAAAGTTTTTTCTTTGTATCAAAATTATGTGGACACTTTTTGAAAAACGGCAATATCTTCAGAATCTGAAATCGGTAGGCCTACCAAAGTTTCTAGTAAGTTGAGCCATTCTGTTTGGCATGCTATGAACCGGGTCTGGATACATGTCTTGCAGATCTGTTCCCAACTAGCAAATTTCACCGACGTGTTAGGTCACTTGTGATATTACTCTTTTGTTCAATGACGTAGAGACCGCGAACCACGATACCTCTACGTTTTCAATAAGGATGAAGTCTGAGGAATACGCTAGCCGACTTGCCAATCAAAGCCGTTGCGTTTAGCATTTTTCCAAATGGAATGGTGTCAGGGACCTCCCCTGCAAAACAAGTGATTTGCAACCATGACTTTTCGAAAAAGGTTGTAGCCGGGACTCAAGCACCTCATTATAATCCTAGTCGTCTACCTGACATGTTGGCAAGCCAAACTTCAATGTCCCCTCCTTTTGGAACCACCCCAGACCTTTGATGAACATCTTCCGAATTGTCTCTTCGAGCACCATCTGCAGTCTCTCCAAAAACCTCAAGACCCACCCGAATAGTAAGGAATAAGCTTCTTTCTGCCAGTCGAGTTGGTCTATGAGAGAAATTTCCACAGAAAGTCTTTTATACTAATTTTTTACCATTTCCACGAAAGCACTGTCTGTGTGGGTTCAAAGTATCATGTTGTGATCCTTTTTTGAGTGGGAATTCCAACCTTGCCAACCTGAACCCGCATTCATATACAAAGCCTTCTTCATCTTCTTTCGTGTCGTGTGCTCAATTGATTGAATGAGACACCGATTGGTCTTTTTTAAGATCGGGAAGATCATTTATGCGTAAAGTTGAGTAGTACGAAAAGAATAATTTGAGAAAATTAAGGCTATTCTTCTCCTGTTTTGAACAAGTAGCGATTGAGAACAACCCTCAGTCAAGGTCGAGAGCTTAGCATCAGGATTTCGGATTTCTCCAAACCTACGAGGACGCATGACTGGTTGACGTGCTATTTCGCAATAGGAAGGTTCAGAAGCATGGGGATCCCATTTCTGTGCTCGGTCTTCTTCAGAAAAACGCTTGCCGTGAAGAGGAATGATGCCAGAATAAGTAACGAAAGGAGAAGTAAAAATAGGTTAGGAAATCGATGCAAAAACTTCATCTGCCTCAGGGTGTCCACATAATTTTGATACAAAGAAAAAACTTTCCATGAAAAATAGTTCGCTAAGTTAGAACGAAATCTTTTGCCGAGAATGTCATTGTAGGTTATCGACCACTAGGAGTTGAATGGTGAAGGTTTCATAACACAAAAAGCCTTTAGCTGACTCCTGAGAATCGATTCTAGGGTGTCCACATACTTTTGGTACGCACTGTATCAGTCGTGAAGTGCTTTTAGTGGTCCTCGTCTCATTTTTTTCGTCGTCAGAAGCGCAGAGCTAGTAATGGCAATGCACAATTATAAGCCATGAAGATCGTGCTAACTCGCTGGCCACAGTCACTCAGTGGGAGCATCGCTCTCTCCAATTATGAGGTTGAGGGGGCGAGAGATGAGATGTCAGATCACCACTGCTTCTGTCATTGATTCAGCTCATGTTTTTGCAAAGCAACCTTACAGTTACAATCTGATCCAATTACAACTGATAAATGAACTGTAACTGGATATATTGCTATAGTAGGCACAAATATTATTGTACCCACCAACGAGCTGATTAATTAGCAGGATGCTAAAGTTCCTGCAGCTCATTCGATTGACTTTTATGTGCCCATATTCTTGATGTTCCAATTCTTCTTCTTTCTTGGATGGCTGAAGGTAGCGGATTCGGTGATTTGTCCGTTTGGAGAGGACGATGACGACTTCGACATGAACTGTAATTACATGATTCCTGTTGTTCATTAGACGATGCGAAAACGGTTATGTTTAGGGATTGTTGATCGAAATCTCCGAGTGAGCCTCCTGATTGTTGACGTTCTACATTGCGGTCAACCTCCCCTCACCCAAGACTTCTTTTGGGTTCTGTAAGCGCAGAATTACCGTACACACAAGGAGCTTCGAAATATCGCGCGGGTCCATTTGTTGGCTCGACGATGGCGATGGAATTGGTCAGCTCTATATAAATCTTTGAACCAATTAGAGTGTAACTGTTTTGCAGCATATCCCGGTTAGAACGCCGAATGGGAGGTGGATCAAATGCCGGCCATCACTGAGGAGGATTCTTCTTCTTCTTCTTATTCTTCAGCGTTTGTCCCGTTTGTTGGCGGGGTCCGCTTTTCTGATATGCTGACGCCACTTTTCCCGATTAAATGCTTGGTCGGGGTGTATGTTAACCGACTTCAAGTCTGTGTGCAACGTATCGAGCCAGCGCTGTTTCGGGCGTCCCTTAGGCCGTTTTCCGGACACGTCAAGGCTGAAGCTGATCTTACGGACACTGTCATCTTTTGCACGAAGAACATGACCGTACCATCGAAGACGGGCTTCGCGCATCTTGTCGGCAATTGGAGCCACACCGAATCGTTCTCTGATGACTTCGTTTCGAATGTGGTCTAGTCGAGTGACTCCAGCTGTCCAACGCAGCATCTTCGTCTCCATCACACTGAGACGGGCTTCGACTTCTTTAGTCGCAGGCCAGCATTCGGCACCGTAAATCGCGACTGGCCGGATGACGGTTCTATAGATCTTAGATTTGAGACGTTCTGGTATGTTCTTATCGCACAGAACGCCAGTCATTGCGCGCCATTTCGACCACGCTGCACTCACGCGAGAATTCGCTTCAGAAGCCAGACTGCCATCAGCCGCGATTGCTGATCCAAGATACTTGAATGTCGTTGTACGTGTAAGCTCAGTACCATTGATATTGATAGAGCCTCGCTCACACGAATCGGCACGAGTCGGTGGTCTTTTTGACGTTCAACCTGAGCCCGAACATAGCCAGGCGGTCGGACCAGGTTTGCACTTGTTGCTCGAGAGTGCTTTTATCTTCGCTAGCGAGCATTACGTCATCAGCATAAAGAAGCGTCCATGGAACCGGCTTCTGAAGATCTCTCGAAATGGCATCCATGACGACAACAAATAGGAGTGGGGACAGCGCAGAGCCTTGGTGTACCCCGACAGAGATGGGAAAATCCATCGAAGTGCCTGCTGCCGTTTGCACCCGGCTCTTTGGACTCGAATAGAGAATGCGCACCCACTCAATAAGCTCTTCGGGAACGCCATGTTGCCGTAAGGCATACCATATAACCTCACGCGGAACGCGATCGAAAGCCTTCTCCAAGTCTAGGAAGGCCAAATGCACCGGTCTTTGTTTTTCGCGATGTTTCTCTAGCAAGAGGCGAGCGGCGTGGATGGCATCGATGGTGCTGCAGCCAGCCACGAAACCACACTGGTTGGTGGTCAGATCAACGATGTCCCGGATTCGACTGTCTACAATTCGCTCAAAGATTTTCATGCTGTGCGAGAGCAGGCGAATTGGACGGTAGCTTGTGCAGTCTCCAGGATTACCTTTCTTCTTCCAGATGGGAATCGTCGTGCTTTGTTGCCAGCTCTCAGGCACCTTCTTCTCTGCAATGATCTGGTTGAAGAACTTCGTCAACCATTCTGCAGGATTCCAGCACTTGGACTTCCACAAGTCGGCCGCTAGGTCATCGGGACCGGTTGCTTTGCCTGGCTTCATCTTCTTCAAAGCCATTATGATCTCACTCGAGGTTATCTTCTGAACGGGACCGTGTTGAGCAGGATTGCAATGGCTCAAAAAAGAGACGATGTTGATAGCGTGCACAGTCGGGAAGTCATGCAAGTAAACATTAGTTGTTCCATTCTCGGGACTGATGCATCTCTTTATTAGCAAGCTATTTTCAAAGAAGCTATGATCGACGTCGTAAAAGACTTGGCGCTCTATTACAGGTTGCT